TGCAGTGGCTTAGTGCTCCACAAAACAACATTACAATTAGTTGCTTCTTACATCTGAACAAAAATTGTCTCTGCTGTTTTTCAATTTCGTCTACAAACAATAAACAGAGCAAACAATCAAGACAAGAAAAGGAGAACAAGACTCCAACCAGCAGTTCCCACTGTACTCTTACATATTTATTAATTTTTTTTCTGCTGTTTGAGATGAAAAAAAAAATCAAAGGAAAGAGAGAAGGTAGAAAGGTGTGGAACAGCTGCGAGTGCTGTTAAAATGCAGACATTTAATGAAAAATTCTGAAGATAATGTATAAAAGTTGATTAAAATTGTTCTCCGTACAGTCGCTATCTTAATTATCCAAAGTACTAGTTTTTTTTGAATGTATATTTAAGTTCCACGAGATCTTAATGTTGACATTCATTTGGGCTTAGTGCTGCTTTAGTTTCGATGTAATAAAGCTTTCTGTCTTTATTAAAAGAAGCATTAATGTTCAAAAATAGGTAGGATTTTTTCGTTTGGAAAATTTTAATTAATGTTTGCTTGATGATGGAGGAAGTTATTAACATAATTAATGAGATTTTTAAGGATACTAACTTTAATGTTAACTTATAACTTCAAAATATGAAGCAAATGCTTTAAAATGAAGACCAACAGATGGCCTGTTGATTTAATGCAAGCGTTTTAAGCTTTTGATCATCGCAACTAATTTGAATTTCATTAAAACTTACAATACGAGATTAGAAACGGTCAGGCATTGGATTTTATCATCAATTCGTCATCATCCCCGATGTTCCTAAGGAAGACCAATGTAAAACATAAGGACGATTATGGTTGCTAGGGATGATGGCTCCTATACCGGATTATTCTTCTCAAAACTACTCGTAATCATTCCTAATCATTTGAAAGTAAAATGAAAACCTTTAAAGTAAAATTATTAAATTTATAACATAATGTAAATCACAAAAAGACATAACAAGTTTGCATTTAGTTCTAGAATGGTTGAGTAATAATAATAATAATCTCCTACATTGTATGATTGTAATCTGTTTGTGCAAGGAATAAATAAACAATTTCTATTGGAAATTACATCACAAATGTTTATGGTAAAATGTTTTCATATTCAATAATACTTAACAAATGTTATTCATAAATTATGTAACATCAAATGAAGCCATTTACTGAACTGTTACCTAAAGTTTCTAAAAGCTTGGTGTAGATCTCCTTATAACTGCTATCTGTGGATAGTAATGTAAATCAAGTCGGATTGGATGGGAATCGAAACTACGACTTCAAAAGAGGTGATTTATGACCACTCGATCAGAGATCCCTGCCACCTAGCCACTGAGTTACTTATCTCACTTCGGCTATCCATAATACACATAAAATCAGCTCAACGCGAGCCCTGTGCTCAGGCCTTTCTACTACAGATATGCTTTTCGAGACACTTAGTAAAACTTGAATTCAATCAATTTTGATTCGAAACCAAAGCAGAGTTGCGATACAGGCACCTTTGCACAGGTGAGAACCGTACAGTTCCTTGATAATTTATAAGGTTTTTCAAATAAAACCATATAAATTCTAATAAAACCTCATATCTTACACTTGGCTGTATCGCAACCCTAAATCAGAGTTTAGTGCATAAGTTGACTTGTACTTAGATTTTTCAGGTTCCTAGTCTGAATCTTACTACCACCTAAACCAGTAGTTCTCAAACGATGCTCGGAGGAGCACTCCTACTAGGGTTTCTGAAAAACGGCATTTTTAAAAAACGGCCGTTTCCGTTTTTTTCCAAAAAACGGCCGTTAACGGGTCCGTTTTTTTAATTCTACCGAAATTGTGTTTTATGCACGGTTTTAGTCACATACTGAAATTGTTGTCAAAAAACGAACTTATTACAGTGTATTGTGTCTAAAAAAAACTTTTATTCACACCCTGTTTTTTCGTTATAAGCTACTACTCGTTACTAAGCTACTAGCTTAGTAAAGTTTCTTTGAATTTGAAATTTTTTTGTAATCTTTACTAAGCTACTACCAAAAATAAAGTTTAATTAATCTTTTTAAACTTTCTAAGTATCAGTTTTAATGCCTAATGACATTGTCAATGAAATAAAATCGAGAAGATAGCAAAATTTCTTTAATTAAGCTAAAAAATTCAAAAAATTTCATATAAGTTCAATTTCTTTACTAAGCTACTAGTGAGCCAAAAAAATCACTTTTTTATTCTCCTAAGCTATAAGCTAGCTTATAACAAAAAAACAGGATACTTCAAACTTTAAAAATATTTAAACATCAAGTAGTCGTTACAAAACTTAACAACTTAAATTTAATGAGTATGAAAGAATTATTGGAGTTAATATTATTTTATTCTGAACCTAAAATTTTCACGAGCTAGAAAAGAAAAACGGAAAAAACGGCTAGAAAAAAACAGCCGTTTTCCGTTTTTATTTTTCTCTGAAAAACGGCTGTTTTTCCGTTTCCGTTAACGGCTTCAGAAACCCTAACTCCTACAGTTGTAACTGAAAAGTTTGACAAACACTGACTTAAGCATTACATAACACTCGAACGACTTCTGATTGTAAATTAAGTCCGAAACATCAGAAATACTCCATTATTAATTCACAATCTACAGCAATCTATTAAATGAGCATCACATCATTACATAGAAAAAACTAAAATATCACCACAAACCATACTCCATGTCCTACTTTGTCGTCTTTAAATTCAATTTATCTTCCACAATATGTTCAAAATATGCCAAAAGCATCAACATCACCAAGGGAGAGAGGAAAAGAGCTTTAAAAAGCTTTCAACTTAATATGTCATTGTAGCAATGAAAAATTGTAGAGAGCAATCGATACAGCTGCGTTATTGGGTATATCGGTTTTAGAGTGCCATCGAATGATGCATCTACATATGATGATGATGATGATGATTTTATGGAATATCACTTTACACAAAAAAAATTTCATAAATAACGATTTTTCTTCTTTTCAGCCACTCGAGTAGCTTACGAAAAATTGAGAATTTCCTTTCCACACTAAAAAAAAAACTGTTGTTCATTTTGAGGAAACTTTTTTCATCAATGTTTAATGCTTGTTGAGCTATAAAAAAATATTGTGAGAGAGACTAAAAGGCTCGCACTTGAGAAAAAAAGGAAGGAATGAAAAAACATAAGGAAGCCTTAACATATCATGCATAAATTATAAAGTAAACCATCGAATGAAATATATTTGCCTTTTGGCGCAGATTCTGCCTTTGGGAGTACTTTAAAAGAATTTTTACTTCGTGTAGTACACAGCATATGTGTGTAGATAAATATGAGCAGTTCTTTAATTTTGCATGAAACTTTACGCATGATGATTTAGGTTGTACAGCAAAAAAAAGGGGTAAACGATGCGATTCACATGCTCTTTTGGAGAAAAACAAAAGGGACATGTTGGGGGTGATTTTCAGTGATGTCAAATGATTATTAAGATGTAAGGGGATTGGCTCATGAAATATTAAAGGATATTACGAAAACAAGTGAGGTTAAAGCCCTTCTTAAGGACCTGAGCAATCCCACACAGTGCAGACGTCATTAACGAAACAGACCCACCCAGATATTAATGAAAAGAACAAGAGAATGAAGAGGTATAAGCTAAGGTTGTTGAGGACAAAATGAGAGAAGTACACAAAAAAAATATTTCACATGTTCACATACAGACCTGAATAATAATTCTCTCGAGATAAATCCATGCCTTATATCCAGCTACATTATCTGTAATTTATATTTATTTTTATGAATACAAAAAATAGCAACAATGGAAAGTTATGAAGATGTCATTTAAGCTACTAAATTTGTCGTAGCGCATAATTTCCTGACTTGTTGAATTTGCATGCAATGCCGTCAATTTCAATATTAAAGCACATCATAAAATATTCAACAAAGCGTTGGCACCAAAATCACTGACCTTTTACTGATTGTGAGTAGAAAAAAAAAATAAGAGAAATGCAAAGCGTAAGAGGAGTGAAAAGTTAATCGCTTGACGTTTGTGACCTAAATTATTTAAGGTAGAAATCTGAGATAATTTCTATGATGTTTTAATCTCTGATGTCCTTCGTAGGCAAAAAATAAAAAGTAGAATTTTTCAATCCCCTCCAATTTAAATTTTTACATTTTGTAACTTTAAGCACCGACAAAGAGGATTGAAAGTTTTATCGTGGGGGTCGATTTTTTACGTATGGATGGTATTATATCAGCTTTGGAGATTATTATTGGAATTTGAGAGTCATTATGAGCAGTTGTGATGGATATTCTGTTGGATTATGGAGTTTATTGTTGGACATTGTAAATTATTTTTGAAATTTTAATGGACGCGTACACAATCTAGACATAGAGTCTATTTAAACTGCTCGAAATCTACATCTGATCTGGACATAATGTGCACCTAGTCAACGAAAAGCTTCTAGAAAAAGCAGGTCAACAAGACATCAACAAGGAGATTTAGATATGGAAGTACGGCCCTTGGTTCGAATCCGCAAGGGAAAAGACGCACTGGAGCACCACAAGCTTAATCGCACAGATCAGTGATGAAAGAATGTCAGCTTAATGTGCAGACTGATAAATTGTACAAACTAGGTGACAGAGCTAGCAATAGAGTCAGATGGAAGACCTTTTGTTGTAACCTAAGCTCCACATAGGAACATGGTTACAGTAAGTGAATAAGTGAGGCAAAGTAAGACAAAATAACAACACAATGTTAATCAGCTCCTCTCTGAAAACAGAACATCACCTGGAACAGCAACAACAACAAAAAATGTCATAAGACTTAAGCAATAACGATGAAAAATTAATTCCACAACTTCATATGTATTTTTTCACATTTTTAAATAAATTTCTTCCTCATCTTTATTGTAATGATTTCTCTTTTTTTGTGTTTCAGAAAAAAATTTATCATTTTTACGTTTTTTCATCATTTTTTTTTAAATTTATAATTTTTTTTTGTTTCATTATTTTATTATTTTCTATCAACTTTATCATCCTATATATGTATATGTATGTGTCATATTTACATATAAGTGAATGACATTTTGCTGATAAATTTATGGGAAATAAGATATCAGCTGAAAAATACGACCATTTAATGCATTTAAATTAAATTAAATTATAACAATGGACTGGAATGATGGTGTCATAAATCATATATTTCATAATGTATGCAAATCAATCAGTCTTTCAACTAGAGCTGTGGGAAACTAAGGGAGGAAATTGGAATTTAATAGAACGAGGATTATGATGAAGAGTGGGGGGGGGGGGGGTGTGGGTTAAAAAAATATTTTTAATGTTGAATTATAACAAAAACACATGGTGCTTTAAATTATACATGCATGAAAAGAGCAAAAATGTGTTTTTTGTGGCTTTGAATACATTAATATGTCAGAATATGACGAGAACGAATAAAAAAGGATTTTCTGTTGGGGTCGAGCACTAATGACGTCTATTTGAAATTTATGATTTTGACCCCCCCCCCCCACTCTTTATAGAACTCAAGTGTAGCTAGTAAGTTTACACATCATGATGTAGCTTGAAGATAGCTAAGATGGAACATTGCTGCTTAAGTGCTCTACATCATAAGCCAACAACCCAATCCTCAAAAACTGAAAACGAGCAATTATTTAATAATAGTTCATTCAATATTTTTTAAAAATCCAATTCAGCATTTTCAGTTCTCGTTATAAAAAAACATTCTGTTCCATTTTTTCTCTTCATCATTATTGAGCAGTTTATTCCTTTTGTGCTTTGTATTTCCAATAAATACAGAAAAATTAGTCCTTTTCTTACAACTTCAGTTCAATCGAGATGGATGAAGAAGTAAGACGATTGTGAACAGAAAAGGAACAGAAAAAAAAATCTTCAAGTGTCGGAAATTGTTGAGATAAAGTTGAAAAGGAAACGAGGTCAAGGGACGCAAACTTTTTGATCGCAATCGATGTAGACCTGAATTTTATCTGATGAAACTTTTAATCGATTTTTATTTTTGTGAAGATGTAGGATTTTTTATTTGACCTACAATAAAATTGGAGATTTTAAGAGATTTTTATGATTTTGGAGGTAAGAAGCTGTATTAGGATGAACATTGAATTTTTTTGGGGAATTTTCTTTCAGTTTGATGGGTCGTTGACCTCATATAGTTTGGAATTTTGATTACTAGGCCTCACAAAATCAAGAAATTCTTGAAGGAAGACTGCACGATGGGTTGCAATCCTAAGTCAAATCTTGGTCAGAACGAGTGTTCAGTAATGAAACATAAATCTATGAATAATGTCAAAAGTGCCTCAGTTGACTGCCTCAGTTGACTGATTGATTAGTGAACCCTACCTGAAGCTGTAGGTCCTTATTTTCAAAAGATACGGGTTCAAGCCCCTTATTGACCTGCTTTAATTTTCATCAACAGGTTCCTTAGCCAACATTAACATTTAACATCCCTCGACAATCATGTACACATTCCAAAGATATCCACCAACATCACAATCATGGTTCTTCATGCAATTACAATGTGTTGATAACGACTGAGCCACAATCATAAATGTGCGTGGTGATTGAATAAAAAAATTCTCGCATTCTTTTTGTACAACTTTTTTTTCATCTTCCAGCTTAATGATGATGAAGTTTTCATTGCGAGTCTATAAAGACTGATGAATATTGTATTTTTGTCAGGTGTGCGTTAGTCGAATGTATAAAAATATGAAAATTAAAGCAAGCAAACGGTGCCGTGCTCGTGTCGATCATTATTTCAACATCATTGTGTAAATTTTACTGACAGTGAAATTCCGTATAGGAAATGGAGTATTTGCTCCTTGATATCCGGATTCGTGGAAAGCTATAATTGCAAAGTTTTTGGGGATTATGATGGAAAATTTCTTGGAATTGATGACAAAGGGATTATTAAATGGGCGTGGATGTTAAACTAGATATTTGATTGCAACTATTGCAAATTGGATTTTTTATGAATTGATGCAATATTGCAATTTCTGTGAATGACGGTTTCGAAATTGAATTTATAAAATTTCAAAGAATTTCATCAACAAAATTGCAGCACATCCAATTGCAACCTATTCATGTCAAACCGAAATTTCGAGTAAATTTCATCATCATTAAATAAATGTTTTCTCTTTCAAAAAATGAGTTTCCGAAAAAGCCATCATTTTGGTAGAGGGGTGTCAGTATCGCACGATAAACTTATCATTTATTCAATTTCCAAGTCACACCACAACGTTAACAGAGCCATCAGCGAGAGGCGATGAGACTTCATCATCATTATTTTGAAATGTCTATGGTGGTGCTTAAAACGCACTTTATAAAGTACATTCCGTACCGAGCCTAACGAAATTAAGTGGATGGCAAGGGGGATAATAACTTGATGGGGAAATTCTTTAGTTGAAAAATTCTCAACAATTTTTTCAGTAATTTAAACTAAGACTGTTCTAGTAAATTATATACTAAAACATTTCCTCATTAAGTTGTTATCCCCCCATGAGTAAAAACAATTTTTTTGATCAAAACAAATTAAATTATGGATAAAGTTTGGGATTTTGTGTGTGTGTGTGTATGTATCAAAAAGAATGAATGTCTAAGTCAGTAAGAAACCATTAACCAAATTCTAATTTGGCACGTATAAAAATGAAAATGTATAATGAAAAATTTTGAGCGTATTTTCGGATGAGTATGAGAAGGAAAATTACTTCTTTTATGTACAACAACATTTTTTTTTGTCATTCTCTTTATATTTATATATATTTACACAATCTGTGCTGAAATTTTTACAATAATTTGCTGCTTCTCTCTCTCTCTCTCTCTCTCTCCACACGCCTCTGAATCCATTTGCTATATCCTCTTTTTTTGTGTGGAATCATCGTGTTTAATTGTAGAAATTTTCATGCTTTTGTTTTTCCTTGTCTGCCATTGATGTTTCTATTATTGTTTTTGTTCATTTATTTTTTTGCAGACCATTAAAGACCTTCAATCACCAAAAATCAAATTAAATAAACATTATGTGGAAGAGTAGGGAACAAAAAAGTTTTCGTATGTCTCGCTTCTTTATTTTTGATTTTCTTTGTTTGCTGGATTTTTGGGATTTATTAGAAGGAGGTTTTGGGGGTAGATTTGGCAGATTGTCATTATTATAGATTTTTTGTAGTGATTTTTGGCATTAATGGAACTATTCTATGTTAGTAGTGGAACCTTGAGTTAAGGTTACAAGTTTACATCCTTTATTTTAGCCTTCGTTGTGAGAATTTGATTGAAAAGTATCACCAGTCAGTTAAATCTGACCTTTTTGAGCATTATGTAATTGGAACCTTAGTGAAAGCAGCAACGTAGCAATGAGGGGTTTTTTAGGCCTCCTAAGTGTTCAAAACAACAGTTCACAATTGAGCATGTCTAATAAGACCCTCGAAAATCTTAAAACCATCTTATCTTAAACCAATCCCAAACCCAAGGTGGGTTTGTGGAAAACAGCTGTTTTTGAAAAACAGTCTGTTTTCGGTTTTGATTTTTAAAAACAGCTGTTTTCCTGTTTTCTGTTAACAGGTTTTCCAAACCCTAAACCCACCTTCCAGTGACAATCCAACTTGTCTCTATTTTTTTTCTGTTCTACATAAAAGTTTTCCAATCAATTTTTATATAAATAAGTATTTATTTTTACATATTTTGCTTCCTCATTCCTATTGTTGTTGTAATGTTATGGGATAAATTTCACTTTCCTCCCTTACTCTTTTTTTATTCTTTGTTATTTCCATCCAAAAAAAGGGAAGGGAGGAGGTCGCTTGATATTATTTAAGCAAAAAGAAAATACGAAAACATTCTCTTTGTAATTTTATAAACTTTTTGGAATACCAAATAAATGGAGAAGCTTTGAAGTTTCAAAGACGAAAGGAATGGCAAAAAAAAACACATTTAGACTTGTTTGCGTGAGTCTGTTGAGGAACTAATTGAAAATTAATTAGAGATTGAAGAAAGTTTATCTTTTTAGCAAATTGACAAATGATTTGTCTTGGACCGAAACTTTTATTCATTCACAGGATTTTTTGGAAGAAGCCTTTTTGTGGCTGAAATATTTGGTATGATAAAAATTCTTTGATGCTCATAATAAGGTTCCCGGATATATCAATTCAATATTGTCAATTAAAAAATTCAATAGAATTAAAAATGAAATCAATTAAATGCTAAGCTTCAACATGATTATCGTTCAAATGTTAATGACAATAATCCTCATTTAATAACATTTTCTTGAAAACTTTTAAGCCATAATAATCATCATTATAATTGTTCCAAAAAATTAATTTAAGAGAATTACTGACGAATTTTCGTTGTAATTTTACAAGATTTATCCGAATGACTTCAATATTTTCTCCATCATCTAATTAGTGGCGATGCTTAAAAATAATTTTTTCTTTTTTCTTGGTAATTATTAAGTCTTTAAATCATTAAATTAAATTTCTTGTAAAACTTAATTCTTTTGGAAAATTTTTAACGACTTTTTTCCATCAAATTTTCATTTTTTATTGCTGAAACGGAAACAGTAACGAAGATTTATCACTTGAGTGTATATTATTTTTTGCTATACATAATTGGCAATTCAGAAAAAAATGAGACATATATTAAGTGAGGAAAACGACAAGTTGAAAAGTCACTGTATGTTGTGGTTTAAGGCGCATTTTCATTGGATTGACTCAGTTTATTGCGGTAGCTTTAGGGGTAGCTTACTAGCTTGTTTTGTTTACCTTTGTGAAAATAAAAGTTTAAATAGGACTTTTGGCGGGCAAACCATCAACCCCCTTGATGCTAATCGCTATGACCAACTTTGTCGCTAGATGTCTTGATAGATTAGCCTATGCTAATCTCCAGTGTCAGGATCATATCTCGTAATATTCCTAACCTTGAGCTACATTAGGAGTATCCTATGACAGAGTCTAAAGATCATTAGGGGTCGTTCACTTATGACGTCCATCTAAAAACTTGATTTGTAGACACCCTCTCTCCCTCTGTCACAAAAATTCTATAGAAAAAAATTTCCATTGTTTGAACTGTCATAAAATCCTAGACCCCCCTCCCCCCTAAATGTCGGACGTCATAAGTGAACGGCCCCTTACCAGCTCATTTTTCTTGAAATTTTAATTATTTACACATGAAAATTTCTCAATTTCAAACACGATTCCAAACTATCAAATCATCTATGATTCCAAACCTAAAACAGCCCTTCCCAAATCCCACAAATAATAAACTCAACAAAATATTATAATAAACACACCAACAACAACTTTTCTCAAATAAATAATTTTGCTCAACAAAATTTACCCCAAAACCATTTTTTCTCCTTCTAATGGATCGAGAGAGTTCAACTAACAGCAAAACAATTTTTCATTCTTCAAATTCCTAATTTTTTATATTATTTATAACTTTTTTTTTATCTATCACAATTTTCATTTTTAAAGGAAAGAAAAAAAAATTCATATTTTTTATCGATAGATTAATACTAATCATTTTCTCATCATTTATCTCTCTATCTCACTCGGGTTTGTTTTTTTGCGTCTATCCTAAATTATATGTATAATGTATAAAGTAAGTGAGAGAAAGAAATAAAATGAATTAAAAATTGATGACCAAAATTTTTTGCTTGTGTGTTGAAAAAAAAAAATATGAAAAATTGAATGTTGGGAGAAAATTCATTTGAGTTGGGGTCGTTCGTAAGTGATGTAACTGATGTATTGTTAAAAATTGAAAACACATGCTCTTTAGTGCTTAAAATAAAGAATGAAGTTATAGATTTTAGCTTGATCAGGCCTGACTTGTATTTTTGACTAAAGCTTTGTTGGTTAAAGGAGTGAGGAGGGGGGCTTAGCTTAGCTATAACGATTGAACCTTCTTCCAAGAATGAGGACACCCTGATCAAAAAACAATGACTGTGCATCATATTAAAATTTAAAATCCTATGACAATCGCCTCAAAAGACCTCCTAATCCCCCCCCATAATCATAAACATCAATTACAAACAAACCCCCAAAAAAAACCATCCAAAATACGAAATGGAAATGTGTGTGAATGTATAAGTATGCCCGCATGCAGATGTGCTTGTATGTCAGCAAATTTTGACAAATCCATTTTTCAAATTTTTTTCTCCCATGTTCCTTCATACATTATATATATAAAATTTTTCCTATATATGAGTTTCACATTATCATTATCATCATCAAATGCAATTTTTTATGCTATTAAAAAGAAAGAAAGAAACAAGTAAGTACAAAAAATAAGGAACGATAAAAAAATTGTAACATAATTGTGTAGTGATAAAGAAGAAAATGGGATGGAGAAGAGAAGATCGATATATATAGCAGATGTGTGTCCTGTGTGCCAATCGATATATATGTACAAGTGTATGAGGGTATAAGATCATCAGTTCATTGATTTAATAAGTAGTTATAAACTAGCACAATTGTCGTTTGCTAGCTCGATTTGTTTTGGTTTTGTCCGAGTAATAAATTTTCAATTGTAAGTAAAGTTAATAAATAAGTAATGGAAGTAAGTACATCTTGGTCTTCACATTTCTATCTATCGTTATTCTCTCTCTCACACTCACTTCTTCTGTACAATTTCTAATCTCAAAATACACTTTTAAAGTGCCGTATCATCAATAACGGCTCTATTATCCTGCTATAACACCACACTACTTTCTCTTTTTAGCATTAATGGTGTCTCGACATCGTCCTCAGGATTAAGTCCAAGTCCTATACACACTCTCGGTCGTGCATTCGGTCCAAGACTCTGCATCGCTATACACGATGGTGGAGGTGGTTGTGATTGCGATATTGTTATTGTTTGTGACATATTTCGTACTGCGGTACCAGCAATTGTGCCACCATATGATGGCCAGTGATTGTTATGATGACGCGGCAATGTACACGTATTTGATGGATTTTGAAATGATTTTGGCACAGGACTCATTGATATACTATTACCGCTATGATCACGCATTTGATTTTGGCCATGCAGTGAGCCATTCCTTAATGTACAATAACCTATTGCATTATGTGTCTTATGAATTTGTATGTTGCTGTTCGGTACAAAACTGCTATTCGATGAAGCATTTGATGCTAATAATAAACGACTAGGACTGCTTGTGTCTATTGTTGATATGTGTTGTTGTTGACGACGTCTTATAAATTCCACCTGTGAGTTCGAATGGAAGAGAATAAACTAGAATTATGTCGACATTACATATATGTTGGATATGAACAAATGAAGAATAAAAAGAAAATTATAAATGAATGGACATGGATGATGCATTCAATTGGAAATTTTTATTTTTTTGTCCCCATCCTCGACAGTAAAAGTTGGAATGAAATGAAGAAGAAAAAAATGAGATAAGCATAGACACATATATTGATAATGATCATAAGAGTATTCTCGGTGCGCATTTATCTCATTAGTGATTCCTGTGTGCTGATGCTTGTGCATGTCTGCCTGTCTATTTAAGGATATTGTTTTCGGTAATCAATAAAGAGATATGATTGATCTATCTGTTTATAACATGAGTTATTGCTTCATAAATTATATTTTGTTTATAGGCAAATTAATAACCTGAAAGATTGACATTCTTTTCACTATCATCAATTAAATTCTGCTTCTGTTCTATATATTCTTTCTCTCTCATCGGTAATTGTATTCCTATGATCAATTTGCTGTCATAAGGTGAATGGAATGCGGAATGTTTATTTAATGTTGAATATATTTTTTTCCTTTAATAAATTAGTGTAGTTTCTTTTTGGGATATTAATGGGTAGCTATACATGGATTTTTGATAGATTTTGGGAATTGATAGATGGGATTTAACCTCAAATGCTATTTTTGCAGGCATTTTAGGGTCAACTTCAACCACCAACTCTGTCTATAGTGAAGATAGAAGATAAAATGCTTAATTCCGTCCACAAACCAAGCAACAATTCAACAAGACTCAAATTAGGTTCCCCCAAACTGATTAGCTCATTAAAAAGCAAACATTCAATTTCTTATGACCCGAAGTCCTCCAGAAAATTGAATATCACGAAAGCATCTTGTAAAATTGCCCATAAAATAGATTTTATGACTTTTTCAATATCCATCAAAATTTATTCCATTGAAGATAATTTGGACGGTCATAAATTTTCATTTAAAGGTTCTTCTATTTGTATGTGTGCTTGAAACTTACAATCGTATCAAAAAATAATGCCTGAATCACATTGTTATCGAGTTTAACATCTCAACCTTAACCATTTTTATGGTTAAATTGTGTTCAAGCTGAGATTCACTTAAATAATCTTATTTTGAACTAATGAAATTTACAAGTTGGAAAAAAAAGCTCGCAACTTTGTAAGGCTGCACATAAACTGAATAAAATTTCTCATTTCCTTCTATGCTGAATAACTTTAAAATTAAATTTTCGTTACGGAAGACAAAAAATATAAAAATAAAAAGTTTTTCAAACTTGTGGATGTGAATAAAGCATGAAAAATAAAAGCTAGGAAGGGATGTGAACAATTGAATGATTTAAGGAGATTATGTCATACTTGATCTTGATCTGATTCGATGGTTTCGGGAATGACATCAGGATTTTTCTCATCGCTCTCATTTCCATCGTAGTCTCGACTTCCACAACTCTTGATGCTTGGACCGGGCGATGCCACTAGTTAGGGATAGGAGATTAATTATTTTGAAATTAGCTGATCAATGTAAAGGATGAGGGGATATTGTAAGCAATTTTAATTTACATGTCACATTGTTCATACTTCTTGCCATCATCTTAGCTATAAAGCTGCTCAGGGATGTCGCTTTGTCAATATAATTAGTTCGTCTGTATGGTCGTGAAATGGATACCTCTGTTTGGGTAGCAACTAAGGTACTTTGATGATATTGATACTGAAACCCAGAGGGCTTAGCAGTCACTGCTGCTAGATTGATGGCAAAAAGTGACAAAAGTTTGACTTGATCTTACAATAATCTAGTTCCTGATAAATCATGTGCTTCTCAGGTCAGATTAAATATACAAACAAAGCTTCAACTCACCTCTCACTGTCGTATTGTGATGAACGTCTTTCCTCTGATTCCTCTTCCCACAAACTATTCTTAAAATTATCATTAAAATACAGCTGCCAACTAATATGGCAGCACCAATGCCAATGGCAATTGAAATGAGAGGATTTAAGGAGAAGGTAGAACGTGGTCGTTGCTCAACTTTGAAATTCAAAACTGAAAATAAAATGTCGTGTGGCAATCAGATTCCTTCACAGTTGTCGCTTTTTTTTTTTTGGTTTTTTTATGCTTCTCATTTCCACAAAAAAAGGAGGAATTGTGGAAGAAAGAAGATTTTTTTTCACATTTGTACTTACCCTTTTCTCCAGTTGGCTGCTTTTCAGGCATTCGAAGCATGGCTGCTTGCACAACCGTCGGATCAGAACGTCCTTTTGCATTGAATGCATAAACGGAAGCTAAATAAATTGCGCTTGGCATTAAGCTGTTGACGGTAAATCGCGGAACTGGGGATGAATAATTGGCCCGTAACTCATTCGTTTGTAAATCTCTCACTTCCAGCATAAACTGCTGTTGTAAACCGCCATTAAAGCCTTCCGAACAACGAACACTCATGGATGTCATGGAAATATTTGTCACGGTACAATTGTGAACTTGATCCGGACGCCCTACAATCATCATATTTTTTTTGGTCGTTCATTCGAGACAGAAAGCGTCGAGTGATGATGACGAGAGCAGAAAAAAAGAGACATAGAAATTAATATATTATATTGTGATGATAGCAAGGAATAAGCATACAAAAAATGGTAAGTTATAAATTTTATATAAATTGTAGACATTGCGCAGTTTGTAACGTAATCATTAATATTGTTAATCCATAGCTTAAACAATTGTTTGATGAAATATTCTCAGCTGTACTTGTGTGCTTTACATAATTTCATTATGTATGAGAATTGTAACGTATGCGAAGCTAATAATGGAATTTTAGGATGACTGATTATTATCACATCCATGAAGCTGTACTGAGAAGGTGTGTTTCTATGGCAGAATCATATCAGATGTAATCAGTAGGATTGAAGGAATTATGATTATAAAATAAAAAGAGGTTGTTATAGGAACATGTAACGAATGAATTTTAATCAGCCAGTGAAACTTGATATTATGAAACTTTGTATGATTCAATACAGCTTTCAGGAAAGATACAGAACTTGTTTATCTCATGCTGCTAATATCTATGAGATGTGCAGTTGTCATGTCTAATAACAATCTAATGAAAGGAATTGAAATTAATTTTTTGAAGGTAAATTTTCTTTTTATTGAGTTTAGATTTGCCTAATTTAACCGATCCTATGAGAAATCATCTATTCATTTACATCTTGTCGACTAAATTACATCCGTTCCTAGCAATATATCAACTCAAATGAGTTACAAAATACATCTGTAGTCAAGCAATAGTGTTCATATCATGATGTTGCCATAGAATTTTTCACTTCAATTGAGAACTTTCTCATACATGAAAGTTAGTTCCATTTGTTCATAAAACAATACAGCACTTATTCGGTACAGTAAATTCCTGACAAAGTGAATACATAATCATATTTAAATTGCACAATAAACTGCTCATTTTCATCAAACACAAAAAAAATAATAAGAAAGAATAAGTTTGGTTGTAGTAAACGAAGTCATAAAAAATTTGTTAAGTGACTCATTCTTCATTCCATAGCAAATACATTCGCTCGTTCATTCACTCGCATCACATCATTGCCATTTACCATCAAATAATGCAAAAGCAAACTCGAGCGTAAAACTGAATGAAAAAAAAGGAGATAGAGAAAGTGAGATGTTGTTGATGAAGAAGTAACCGTGGCATAAAAATTGGAAAAACGACTTTACATAATCTTCATCATAAATTTCATTTCAATTTACCATTATTTGGTTTATTATTTTTTAATTTAAATTTCAAATGTGCGAAATGTCGAAAAAAACATTGAGGGAAGAAAAATAAACACAGTGTTTGTTCAGAAGCAGCGAGAACAGAAGAGCTACATGTAAAATGAGATACATGGTGTGAGAGGGCGACAGAGGAAAAATTGGCTGTAGATGAGAAAGAGAGTAAGGAATGGTTGGAAAAATTGCGCTTTTTAAAAATGATAACAACAAGTCAGAATGAAAATTAAAGGTTGAGAATCTGAAAGAGGTTTTGAGGACAGTCAACGCTTTTTGGGAGGGTTTGGATTAAATTATTGGAACCATCGACCCCCCTGCTTGATGATGGTAACATTCAATCTTTTTTAATAACAGCTCACCTAGCCTCTACATCAAATATTAAATAAAGCTTTATTCTTGTAATTATTCAGCTAGAATAAGCCAAAATAGACACAAGCAGACATTGATCTAAGCTTTTCATATCTAAGGACAGTTTTACCATATATGATTTGGTGGATTTTAGCATTAATTTAGACTCTGAGCTATTTAATTGAACTTTGTGTTTTGATAGACATCTGAATGAGGCTTTTCTCCTGTTATGACTCAAAAAAGCAACGAGATGCTCTGCTGAAACTTGAACATACGATTGTTATAGGGTTTTAGTTCCAAAGTGCTAGTTCACTGCAATAATAAGATTCTGTCTAAAGCCACTAGTGGACTAGTACACACAAAATCTCTTAAATCCACATGTGAACTTGATTTTATCCTTCAAAAATCATTACAAAATTAATCATCAATTGAAAATTCCTTAGAAACACTCTAAGAAGACAAGTAACAGCATGAAATCATAAATCCAGATAAATTTCAGTACATAAATTTAAATATGTACACACATGACAAAGTAGCTTATTGAAAAGACATTTATCACTTCCATATCTCTATACCAGCATTCCTTGTTACATCTACAGACTCACTATGAAGCAAATGATAACCTATTCACCATAACAGAATGAATAAATCAATTAAAAGGATTTACCTGTCTGACAGACAGATGGATAGATGGACTGACAAAAAATAAAGTCATTTTAAAATATGCTAAGAATGTAAAATAGCTGAGAGAAAGATTCCCCATTACATCAGTAAACAGTGAGCAGAAAAATAAAGAATAAACTTTTTTTTTATTTAGCTCCGCTTGTATACCTTACAAGCTGCGTTGAACGAAAATTTCATAGTACACAACGTGAAAAGAGGAATAAAAAAACTTTTATGATTCTGAGGATGGGGGAAGGGGGAACGAAAACCATCATAATTTAATTTATTTCGCCTTTTCTCAGCCAGTAAAAATGATTGAATGAGAGCGAATATAAAACAACCCACTACCAACATCATTCAGAAGCATCCATAAATTATTTCTTGTGCTTTTTTTTTCCAAGGGTAAGCAATTAGTTTGTATTTCTTGTGTTTGTAGTTTATGGCAAAGGAAATTTATTCCTTACAATTATGAATAATTAATTTGTTTAATTTCAATTTGAATTCTCTTTCGTCCTTTTCTTCTTGTTCCTTGTTATTTGTAAATCACACAAAATGGAAAGAATTTCAATTTTTAATTTTGTGGTGATTTCTTCAATTTTTATTCTCGATTTTGATGTAAAATAATTGAATAATAATTCACTTTTAAAGCTAGTAAGATGTCCCTGCGAGATCCTGATAGACACAACATTGAACTGACTGAAATTTCCGTTGCTGATTGAGTTATGGATCAATGAACTAGTAAGCAATTCCTAATTTTGAGCTACTTTATAAATGCATCTAGTGATGGAGCCTAGGTTTTCGTTTTTAAAGGTCAATGTCATAGGCGTGTCTAATATCCTGGTGAAGCAGAAGAGCTTGAGAGATTAAATTCTGATGTTGCATACCATTGGAAGCATCAATCGCATCTTCTGTTCAATGTACAGCAAATTTGCATTGATTCTGTTGTAAACCAAGAACTGGTGCACTTTATGGCTCATTCAACGATGAGAAGAGATTTCTATTTGTAGATCTCGACTCTATGACCAGCAATAATGCTCAAAGAAACAAGCTATGAACGATAAACTTCGAGTAATGCGAGATATAGTCTAGATAATAACAGAGAGACCAACCCTAGAACTATTCCTAACATATACAGCTCCCTGACATGAATGTACTTTCCGGGACAACGTTTATCTTTCACATCCACATACATGTTCATGAACAGAAGTAAAAGAAGAAGAAATTCAAGAGTCTTCTTATAAATATAACTGACATTATAAGATGGGATTTGTATGTATGTTTATGTCAAGAAATTATGATTTCATTTGTTTGTTTCACCATCTCATGTAAGATTACGTTGGCATGAGGTGGGAATTTATCAACAGTCGAAGGCTTCTCATTGTTTTTATTTGTTCTCATTCTTATATATTTGTAAAGACAGAAATACATTTATTTTTTGGGGAAAATTCCTCTTTTGCTGTTTACTTTGCTGCTTTTTTAAAGAACAATGTGTATGAATATTAATGTGCCAAATTTAATCTTAAGGTATGGAAAAGTTGCGGTAAGAATTTGATGTGCTTGAATGTATGTGAATAAACATTGTTTTTGTCAAAATATAGAATTGGCTGCTATATGGCTGTAAGGGTGTTTTCGTGAATATTTATAGAAAGCTTTCAAATGAATTCAAGAGAAGCTATAAAATTTTTCAATGCTACAATTGTGTTGACTTGTGCTGAATGTAAATCAAATATGGCTGCAATTTCATCCCTTTTCTGTGACACAATTGGATTGTCTTTTATGTGGATTCTTATTTCGAAATTTGAATCTTTTCCAGAAGTTTTCAGTTCGTATTTATTTTCAGAAAGTTTTGTGAATATTTCGTGACTTTAGTTTTAGATTAAGTTGCTTTGATGCTTCTAAATCAATAGCCTAGTCTTTGACTTGAATTTATGGAACCTCAAATTAGGGACCAGCTTCCAAACCTAATTTTTTTATACACTTCCTAGTTGGCAATTTAAATTTAAATTGATTGAGTTTCTAGACCAAGAACAGAGTCTTGGATCCTCCCTTCGACTCATCAAAAATACAAAAATCTTTCAAACTTCCCCAAACTCAAAACAGACACAAAAAATCTTGAAAAAATAACTTTTATCAAAAACAATTTCAATAAAAATCCATCAAAACTAATAAAACAACGAGAAGAAAAACAGGAAGAAACCATTCATGAGAAATAAGTGTTGAAAGCATCAGAACCAACTATCAAATTTCTACCACTAATGTTTGTGAAATGTAGACAGCTAACTTCAAAGTGTCAGAAATAACTTTTGTAAATAAGAAAATACTCACTTGATATGTTCAGCCAGAACTAAAAATAAACATGGAATGAGTTTTCCTTGTGAGTTAATAATGAATATTTAAAGGTTTTTGGAAGGCTTGTTTTGGAAGTTTTTTTTTTGATATTTCCGTCGCCATCATTTACAGGTTGTTAAGAAAAGCAAATGATGATACGGTTACTGTCTCAACCAGAGTGAATTTTCAAGCTTAATGCGATTTCTTATAAAAATCTTGTAAGTTCATTACAATCCCCTTCCTGCTTATTTCATGTCCGCTTCCGTTGTTCGCTTATTTATTTATTTTTTTTCTAAATTCTTTTTCGTCTTCTTTTACAAACTTTAAAGTAAATTACGTCAGAATAACAATTTTGTCAATGCCCAAACAACAAGAGAAACAA